TTGTACACAGGTATTGATACTCAACTCTGTACCCCACAAATATGTATGTTTCAATAAAAAAGAAATTTAGGACATAGTTATAAAATCATATTTATTCAGGGGGTGATTTCTATTTCTATTTATTTAAGAGTCAAGTCAGATTATCAAAACTAATTTAAAAGAATGTGATTACTATGAAGGTGCTAGATCATGGATAGCATCAGAATTTCCCCACCCAATCAGTGTCATTCGAAATAAATAAAAAGCCAGCCTGTACTTGTGAATCCTACACAATCCTGGACTGTAGCAGCCCTTAGAATTTAATGCACGTGACTACAGAGCCAGAAGAAAAGGCAGGAGCTGCCTTTTCCATCCCTCTGCCTTCCAAACTTTAGAATCCTCAGAAAGATGAGGCTCCATAAATGTCACCGCCTTCCACCAGGACCCCTCTTCATGGTTCAGGAGAGTGTCTAGGACAGGAAGGCAGCCTTCCTCCATCACTGCCAAGGCGAAGCCCTCCACCTGGGTTCTCAACCCTTTCCCTTTCCTCCTCGTGGGATTTGGCTCTCTCTCGGGCTCCCCAGGTGTCTCAAGCTTCCTGTTCCACACCCTCCCATCACTCCACCTTAGGTGACTCTCCACTCTCCTACAGCCCTTTCGCCACAGTCCAGCCCTGCCACGCCCACCACCCTTGGCCTTGTGTGGTCGTGCTTCTTTAGGTTGCATCCCAAGTTCTCTGCCTCTGTTCACTCATGGCTCTTTTTTCATTCCTGTTCCACACCCTCCCATCACTCCACCTTAGGTGACTCTCCACTCTCCTACAGCCCTTCCGCCACAGTCCAGCCCTGCCACGCCCACAACCCTTGGCCTTGTGTGGTCGTGCTTCTTTAGGTTGCATCCCAAGTTCTCTGCCTCTGTTCACTCATGGCTCTTTTTTCGTTAATATCCCGAGTATGTAAAGGCCTTAGTACGATGCCTGATACATAGTCTAATTGTTCAAAAACAGTAACCTTGATTATTATTATCATTATTATCCTATTATTTCATCCCCACTAGTTTACTAAAACAGCTCACTGAAGCCACCAACAGCCTCTTCACCCACACATCTGGTGGCTTTTCTCTATTCCAGCCTCACTGACCTTGGACAGGTTAATACATCCATCTTGCTCAAAATTCTTTCTTTGGCTTCCAGGGCACCTTCTTATCCCAGCGTTCCACAGACAGTTCAGAACCTGCTGCCACCTCTGAGCACCACACCCAAACCCAGGTGCTGCACAGCACAGCCTGCCCCGACGTCAAGGCCATCGCCTTCGTGATCCCTCTTCCCCCACATCGTCACCTGCTTTGCTCTCTGGCTTCTTTGAGGTCTCAGCTCCCCAGAGAAGATCTCCCTGACCACTGGGAGTGTCTCAACCAAAGGCAACAGTCAGTGACCCAGAAAGACAAAATCAATGTTGTCGTCTCTTCCCACAGGTTGGTCTATGGTTGACTCGCCCTGGCTCACCTGGATCAATGTCTCCAGCTCTTGGGGGCTCACACAGATGTGATCCCGCAGGAATTCCGCCTTCTCCAAGGCAATGGTGTTCTTCTGGCTGCTCTCGAACGGCTGCTCCAAGGCCCGGAAGACGAGCCCACCCGTGACAAGGTAGACCACCACGACCACAAAGATGGCAACCACGGTCTTCCACTTCATGACGGTCTGCAGGCCCCCCTGGGAGGCACCTTCCATCCTGGCTACCACCGTGGCTCGGGAGGAAATGGAGAGGCGTGGAGCCGGGGGGTGCCCGTTAGTGGCGCTCTTGGGCTGACACACCGCCGGCACTGCTGCGGGGACAGCCACTGAGGAGTCAGGGTGGGGAGAGAGAAGAGAGTTTGTTTATCAATGCAAAACACAAAACTTGTCAGAAACAAAGCACAGATGTCCTCCTTAAGCCAATTTTCAAATGCAAGGATTAAAAATGGGTTCGTCCCTCAGTGAATCATTGTCCAGTATAATCGTATATTGAAACAACACAGTCCTCCAAATGCAGAAGCAAATGTTAAAATAATAAATAAATAAATAAATAATAAAAATAGGTTCACCAAGCCTGTGCTGATAGGGAATTTGATCAGTTGCTAAGTGCCTGTTTGAATTCTAAAAAATGAGCACCAGGGCTCCTAGCTTTTTGAACAATAATGTATTAAATGAGTTTGAAATGACTGTATTTTTCTACAAGGGTCCAAATCGGAAAGCCATCTCTCTGTTATTTATGGTTCATCTCCTCCCTTAGTTTCCTTGTTCAAACGATGTGTGAGAAATACGACAAATCACCATGTTTCACATACTGTTCAACATGGAGAGAAAATAAATCGGAGAGGGGTACCCAGCTACCCTGTCCAAGAACTGAGGACAAGACAATACCAAGAGCAGAGAAGAGATGAGCACCTAGTACGCAAAAAGTCCCTTGACACAAAACAAAGAAAAGAAGGATGCGCTTGTTACAAGGGAAAAAGAGTCAAAACTTAGACACAGTAAAGAAGGTTTGGGTTCTTGAAGACTATTAGCAGGAAAGACAAAGAAAGAAAAAGAAAGGTGGCCATGAGGGAAAAAAACACTGAATGATGTTTTATGCCAATTAGCCTTGTTTCCTGAAAATAACAATAATAATGAAACAGATCTTAAATGTGTTTCTCAATAGAAAATGCGATAACGTAGATGTAACCACTCCTGATCTATTAGTAATAGAATTTTTCTTTTATTTTATTGCAATACAAAGCCACTGGAAAGAAAATTTCCCCTGGTTTTTGGAATACATGGAATTCTCTAAGGTCCCTGTTCCCTATAAGGGCAGTCTCATTACCTTGGAAATAACTAAATTAAGCTGAAGGCTCTTCTGTGACGGCAGGAAGTTTGAGGCAGTATCGCACATCTGCTGCTATCATGCATTGCAGAAATCTGTCTTGTACAGCAATGAACGGCCACTGCACTTCAGTTTTGTCTCTCTTTATTACTGTAATTCTTACTATGGCCTCTGTAGCTGTGCAGCCTGGATGTTGTGTAAATAAGGTACTAGGAGATGACAAACCTAATTACCTAAGTGGGGCAAACAGTCCCACTCTAGTTAGGGGCTAAACTGCTCAATTGCTGCACTGGAAAAGTCAAAGTGGATCAAAGAGGGGGACTGTCATTCCTTGTTCAAAATACCGATGACCCTGACAATGCCTGGCCATAGGGGTGGCCACTTAGAAGAATCTAAGTTTGTAAACACTGGCCTCTCCTTCTAGACCCTTGAATTCAGCTTTTCTCTTTGGAAACCAAGCCTTTTGAGGCATATTATTCTATCCAATAAAATCATTCAATGTTAAATTTCCCTGGGACTTACATGAACACAATATTCTCTGGAATCTCTGACTGAAAGACCTAGATATTAGAATCAGCCACCTGGGCATTATGTTCTTGCTAACCCTTCCCTAAAGACATGACATTCAGGTTCCTACTTGCCCTTGTTCATACTGGGAAACTGAGGCTCATCTAGGGCGGCTTTCTTTCAACACTGCCAGTGTTTCCCATTCATTCTGCCTCCTCGGTGTGTCAATTCCTTGTGCCTCTCACGATCCCTGTGGCCACCAGTCTCATCCAGGCCACCATCACGTCTTGCCTGGACCAATCCAGCAGCCTCCTAAGTGACCTCCCTGCTTCTGTTTACCCCCAGCTTCTGACCCGTGAATCTCAGGCTAAATACCACCTCTGGAAGCACCTCTTCCCTTCTCCTGATCAGATGAATGAAGAATGGAAGGACAGAGGGAATGTTAGCACATCCAAGCCACACACACAACGTGGATGAGCAGTGCCAAACGGAGGACAACTTGACATTCCAGCAATACTGAACAGCAGGTCCTCAAACACGGCCACGCTCTGTTCAGGCCCCCATACCTTCACAGGTGTTTCCTCGGCCAGTCACCCCCTCCCCACCCTCATCTGCCTGCAAACTCCTATCCTCCTCAGTCTCAGCCCACAGCTGCTTCCTCCATGAAGTCCTCCTGGATGCTGGGCAGACTCAGAATGCTGATCTCCACCACTAGCCCATAAATCTCTTGGAGTCAGAAAGCTCATCTTTTAATCATTGGATCTTTCTTTCTTAGCACAGTGCCTGGCATAGAGCAAACAGTTGGTTTCTGTTGCAGTTTTTTGGCAGTTGTCCGGTACAGGGATCCAAATCCTTGACCTTGGTGTTATAATGCCACACTCGAACCAGCTGGGATAACCAGCCAGCCCTTAATGTTGATAATTCCTTCGGACTACACACAAAAGCCCTATCAGACTCAATACCACCCTCAATAACAAGCATTTATTTCACACTAAATGGGCACGAGGGGCTGTGCTATGGTCCCTCCCAGCTCTGGGGGATTGACAGTCCACTTAAGTCACATACTCCACAGCACCAGGTAACTAGCATTAGGATAAAGCCCCAGCAGGTGACAAATGATGGTCTGAGCACAGAGGGTAGTGGGAGCTGGGTCCCCTTCACTGACCTGCATCATGGGCGATAACAGAGCTGCTAGCATCCCTGAGGCTGGGCAGAATTGGGCTTGAGAAAGGTCTTTTCAGGCCAGTTCTTGGTGCCAGTTTGCTAAGAGATTGTCACCTGGAGCAGAGTTTGAACAGAATCCACAAACTCACCAGAGCAAAAACCAGAGTTTCAGTCCCAAACCCGTCAGTGACTGGGTGACCTTGAAACTGTCACTTAGTTTCTCTGTTTGCTTACCTGTGAAATGTGAATAATAACAGCACTCTTTTTAAAACCCCCACAGGGTTCTCAGGAATTGGAAGTGAGTGGCCCTGGTTTGCTGACTGGAGCATATTTGAAGATGTCAGGAGTACTGGCAGGGACCACAGAATGTTACAAAAACTTTCATGCATTTGACTAAAAAGGGAGTTGGTGGCTTTAGTAATATGATTGCTCATTAAGATGGTTGGAAAAGGATTTGGATTGTGCTTTTCCCTTAAGGTGGATACATTTCCAAAGGATGTTTTAATTAATCCATTTCTTCTCCTCCAAAACTATAATCGCTGATAGAGTTTGGATATGTTGTCACCTCAAAGCCCATATTGAAATCTAATCTCCAATGTGGTAGAGTTGGGAGGTGTTTGGTCATGGGGTCAGATCCCTCGTGAATAGATTAATGCCCTCCCTGGGGGGGGGGTTAGTGAGTGGGTTCTCGCTCTATTAGTTCCCGTGGGAGCTGGTTGTTTAAAGGACCCTGGCACATCCCCATCTTGCTCTCTCTCTCTTGCTTCCTCTTGCCATGCAATCGTGCACCCACTGGCTGCCCTGCTCCACCATGAGTAGAAGCAGCCTGAGGCCCATGCCAGATGCAGCTGTCCCAGAATCGTGAGCCAAATAAGCCTCTGTTTTTTATAAATTACGCAGTTTCATGTATTCTGTTATAAGCAACAGAAATGGACTAATACAGTTGCTCTCACTTTAACAAAATTGCCTTGTGACCTGGGATGAGCCACCAGAGGTCTCTGGGCCTGGAGCCAGCAAAGAAGCAAAACTGGCCAAATGGTGTTGATGACGGTGGCAGTGGTGGTGGTAAAGGTGACAGAAGCCCCGATCACTCACTGAGCACTTACACAGCACTTACACTGTGCCCGCCACTCTGATAAACACTGGCTTGCATGGTTGCCTTAGGTCCCCACTATGAGGAATTATCACACTGTGTGGGTCCAGGTCCTCCCAAAAGCAAATGCCAAGAAAGGATGAGAGGTGCATGGATTTTATTAGAGGATACGCAGGTGTGAGGGAAAATGAGAGGGAGTCAGGGGGACCAGACAGTTCAGGTGCTACGTAAGTCTGACCCAGAGGGAAGGAGAGAGGGAAGGAAGGATGGATGTAAGCATCCTAGACAACCTGCAGTCTAAGGAAGGTTCAGCAAGGTGGTCACGGAGTCCTTGAGCCAAAGCCAGCCATCGGAGGAGTCCTGTGTCTCCCAGGAACAATGCTGCAATCGCATCCTCGCCGCATTTAGTCACTGGCTGGGAGCAGCCCATGGGAAATGCGCCTGCACTGCAAGCCCAGCAGTGGATTCAGAGAAGCAGCTGGGGCTCTTGGCCAATTACACACCCCCAGCTGAAGGCCCACAAGTGCCCCACTTCACAGATAAAGACATAGTCCCAGACAGGCAAAAATGACTAAGCTAAGGTAAAGTGGACAGAAAGTGAAGAAACCAGGACTAAAACTAGAATAACCTGACTTCAAAGTCAGCTCCTCCTGTGGAACATAGGAACAAGAAAATAGGAAACAAAGCAATTCCAGGTGGAAAGGGAGCTTTTATCTAGAAATAGGAAAATCATTTTTTTCAGACAAGCATAAAATTATTTCCCAGTCTATGAGATTGACTACTTCAGTCTCCTAGCAGTGCTGGAGCTCTTTCCCATATAATGTATCGATAACGATGGATCATATAAAGTAGGGACATATCATACTGCATGACTCCAACAGAAAAGTGTTTGGCAGCAAAAGTGCTACCAAGAATTGATGAGAAGGAAATGCTGGAAGACAATATCCCTTCAGTTAATGTTCATTTTTAAATGTTTCCTCTCTAATGTTAGCACATTTCATTTCTACCTAAATGTGAATGAATACAGGGGTATGTTTTTTTTCATGGTTGAACAAGTTCTTGGTAATTTTATATTCCTCAGTCTTTGCCAGGCCCCATGGACTTTACCATTCAATCAACAAACATCCTAATTTGCTGGGCACCATGCTTGGCACTGGGCATACATAAATGAATAAGACATATCCCTGCCTTCAGAGTTAACGGGAGAATTGACAAAGATCTTATGCATGTGTGAA